TTGGCCACAAAAACCTTGAATCTTGAAGTCTCACTCCTGATGTATTTAAGAACAGAAGCACTGTCTGTCCAAAACACAGAATCCAGAAGTTCCATCTGCAGCTCTTTCCTCCAGAGTACATCCAATCGACTGGCCATGGTTGCTGCAATGAGCTCCATTCTCGGGATGGTAAAGGATTTAAGAGGAGCAACACGAGCCTTTCCCATAACAAACGCACAGTGTTGTTCTGAACAGATGTTTTCAATCAGCAGATAGGTCACTGTTCCATACCCATCCTCACTGGCATCACAGAAATGGTGCAACTGAGCACTCGTGATGTTAGGTTTGTAGCTTGAACCTATTCGCTGGAACGTTAAGACAATATAATTACACTGCAAGCAAGACGCAAGTAGGCAAACATCTTCATGGTACTCGTGCACGGGAGAGAACCGGACAACCGCTTGACTCCAGTTGGTCTCGTCCGTTCTCCCATATCACTGTCCTTTTATTGAGGTTACATGAATATGCATAAGTTCATTAACATATGACGTCTACATACACAAAGAGTACCTTGCCTGTGTGTGTGTGTGTGTGTGTGTGTGTGTGTGTGTGTGTGTGTGTGTGTGTGGACTGCTGATCAAAGGGTCAAACATCCTTGGTCAGGAAGAGGGTAGCCTCCCCCTCACCCTAGATGGTTCATCCTAGATAACACGGTGAGGAAGTCCTGCAGTTCATCTAAACAAAGAGCACTTAGACTAGAACAGATGCAACTACGTTAATCCTACCATAAAACAATAAGACACGGTATGACCTCTCATGCTCCCAAAGTGCTGTCTAATACACACAAAGTTTGCAGACTATCAAGGATCAAAACCTCTACCAATCTACAACTAATTACAAAACTCTAAGCATATATAAGTAAATATTTCTAAGCATAAATGACAATCAACAATACAAATCTAACATTTCCCCCCTTTTTGACCTTTATGCCTGAAAAGTTCCCAGGTATGAATACCTCATGTCTGACAGTTTCAATGCAAACATTTTATACTCAGCATATGTCAAATCACCCTAAATTACTGAAAAGGTACACAGTTCAACAAATGTATTAGCAGTTATCCCATTCATTGAGCTCATCTCATGGCAAACTGCATCTTACGAGCAAACAAAGAAATTGTTAATTTAATAGTGAAAATAAAAAGTAACATTTTCAAAAACATCTCAGCTTGGTAATGCTTCCTCCAGGTGTGCACATCACATGTCTCTCTGCAGAGTGGTTTGAGTTCTGCAGGGCGTCATGAATGTCTCTTCCAGTTGTTTCCATCGTTGTCCATAGGACCAGAGTCCAAATGTATGTAGAATAAACATTCAAACATACCAGTTGGTTTTGTTGTTTGTCAACATGGTTCTCAGCTATTTCCAAAGCTGCAGACCTCTCAGCACTCTAGTTTTATGGCCTCCCATTACCTCACTTCAGGCCTTCGTCCTGTGAGGGGGATATTTATGACTCCTTCATTGTCCTTCATTGTCCATACTCTGCAGAAAACACCTCTGTGGAAAGGGTGCAGGGTTGTCTTACTGCTATTATGATCCCAGCAGCCTTCAGAGTGTCATCGTATGCACAGTACAGTGGCACAGCGTTAGGTGATGTTCATAGGAAACTGCTGTTATCACCACCATAGCTTCTGGTTCCTGTGCTTTTCACAGAATCATGATGTCATCCCCGAACTCCTTCTGCGCTGTCGAATCTTTCATTTTATTTAAAATCTTGCTGTGGGAAGTCTCCTCTTGATTTCCTGGAAGCTTAGTAGCACAGCTCTCTGTGTGATGTCTGCTGTGCTGAAGATGATCTCTGATCCTCCTGAAGCCTCTCTCCCATCTTGTGGACGATCCTCTCCTCTATTTTGCAGGCAGTTTCATGGTCCTTGCTGTGGCTCCAAGGTCTGATTTCATGATGGGCCCCAATCAGCTTGATCTTTGACCTCAACCACTGCCTGGTCCTGTCAGCTATGCGCTTCTCACTGGGCCTCTGAAGATTTCTCAGGAGATTACTGCTGCACCTGTATTTCCTTGCTAGGAAGACAAACTATTTGGAGAGTATGTCAACAATCATCAAACCACATTCTTTAGTTCAGTGAACTTCACTTATAGGCCATCAAAGCCTCATCTGAACATGGGTGCACCACTTGCATAGGTTTAATATTTGTAAATAAAACGGCTAATCACACAAATCACTGCAACAATAATAAAAAACATTGTTTAATGTTAATCCTTGGACCCCTCCTCTTGACGCATGGACACACCCATGCGTCAACTCACCAAACCTGGATTCCTGTCTTAAAGAAAAAGATTAGCTAGATCATATCCCAGGCAACATCAGGGCATCTCCTCCCCTGGAGCAGCACCACCCTGGACCTATAATCCTGCAATAAAAATGTTAGTGTGCTTTGCATATTAAGTTTGCTTAACACCTGGCTCTCCCAGGAGCCTGCATACACACCATCATGGCCTGGAAAACAAAATCTGGAAGTAAAATCAAACTCCATACCTGTAAACAATTGTATCATAAGGACAAGAAGCATTCAACATCAGCAAGACAAGTGTCATGTGCAGGTTTTCTCAAATCAGTAAACTACAATTATTTTCATAAGTCACCTCAGACATGGATCATCCCATGTACTCAGGCAACATTAATGTAATCGGTGACTGCTCTTAAGCAAAGTCACTCCACTTATATATTACTATGGGCTCAAAAGTGGCCAGCTAATGAGCCCATATCAAACTATCCCAGAAACACTGTATCTCTTATTTGTTTTACTCATGTCACTTGTCCGTTTCAGCTGAATCTTCCACAGCATTCTCAAAGAAACTAACATTAGCAATACACATTGACTGTAGTCAGACAGAGGTCAGACACAGGTCAACAGGTTCCAGAGGTGCCATAAAAACACCATAAAGTCAACCCTAGCTGTGGAAAGAAGTAACACCAGTTCTCAACACAGGAAATTTCACACATGTTATTCACATTATCAAAGTAACCTTCACATTTTCCCATCAACACAATGCAACAGCATCACCACTCATAACCTGTAAACACAGTTTTCCTCACACATAAACCCAGAAATCCTGTAGTAGGAAAAAACATCAACCAGTTGTCCTGGTATAAATCGCATCATCAATTCACATGAAGAACTGGCATGCTGTAAGAAAAGAAAATGCAAATATTAGCGCTTGCGCAGGCGTATGCATACTTTGTCACAGTTATCTCTGTGAGCAACTCAAGCTAGTGAATGACACACACATAGTAAATTCACAGACACAGAAAATGGAATTTAAAATGTTAAATCATCACGCAACCTCGAGTGTTGCTGTCATCTTTCTGCTCCTGTAAAAGGAAACACATGGGTTCATCTGCACCTTTGTCAGGTGGGGGTTAGCTTCACACAATCATGTTCAGTCAGTCAGTCAGTTATTTTAAAAGTCTTACTCATTCACTCAGTGGTTCCTTCTTTTGCTAATTGTGGAAATTATCATCGCATTCGTTTCCACGCTCAGCAAAACTACGTTATTTCAAAAAGAAAAATAATTTAGACTGGATTTCCTCGTTGAATCCTTTTTGGGGGGACTCTCATTTCCTAATTGTCCCAAATAAGTGGCTTTCTCCTGAACCCATTTTAAATGTGGAGAAACTCACTTGCAACAATTTTCTTGACGACGTGTAACGCTTTTAATTCCCGACTTGCAGATCTGCTCAAAGAAAAGAAATTCACAAGCAAAAATCAGTGCTTGTTCAAAAATGAAAAATAAAAAATAACAGAGATTATCAAACCAAACTCTCAGTGCACTGTGAAAGTATCAAAATAAAAAGGCCTTGTTAAGTCATGACACAAACTCCTCATCATCTTCACAACAGGAGAAGAATCATCAGCTAGATTCACTCCAAACCAACCATCAACTGCACAACACACAACATAACCCTAATGTCATATTAGCTATGAGTTTAATCACCCGGTCTGTGCTCTTCACTCATTTAGGCCACAGATCTATTTTATTCAATTTTCCTTTTCCCTTCATCATAAAACATGTGACATGCTGTCATGCACTTCACAAAAGACGTTTGTTCTGATGTATTCAGAGTTGTGTATCTAAATACAAGATTCACTCGCACATCAAAACAGGAAACTCAGTGTTTTAGAGTCTCCACTCAACACACAACAACTCCAACACATCTCATTCACTCGTACTAGAATTCAGTCACCTTTCATTAATCTAAAACCAATCAACTAATTTGCATATCAACTATTAACCCACTAAGTTGACAGGACGACAGAAAAGCATGTTCAAAATAGTATCACAAAAGACAATTTCCCTCATACAGTAAATTTAGTAGTAAACTTGTGCTGCATCAATCAAGCAGGAAGCTTCTCCCAATTTACCATTTTAACACTAAATTTATTGTCTGATCACTGATTTATCAAACCAGGATTTTTTTATTTTTTTTTCCACAAAAGTTAAATTGTTGTCCTGCAACTTGGAGAGTCAATTTTTTCTTTAGGATAAATTCAGCATTTGATAACAAGTGTCTGCTAAATTGACACTATTGTAACACTGATGAAAGATAACAAGCTAATTTTCATTACATGTGTTTGTGTTATTAGGCAGGTCTAATGCATGTCTGTGGAGCTGCATCTCCAGCAGAGCATGTTCTTAAAGCTGCCTTTCCTACACACTTCTCTACTATTGTTTAATCATTTCTTAACTAATGTGCTATGAGTCTTCATGAGTCATTTTGTGTTTGGAATTGTTAGTAGGGTTAATGCATGTTCTGCTTGTGTGTGTGTGATTTTGTATATGTTTCTATTTTCGCAATGTTTCAGACTCCATCTCAATTTTCCAACTTAAGCAGTCAGTTTTCTTTTCCCCAGGTTTGCTAATCCAAATTTTGATTTCCCACATTAAATAATTCCTATGTGTTCTCACCTAGTCTTCTCACTCTGTTGTCCTCTCACTCTTTTGTCCTCTCCCACTTCAACAGTCCCGGCAGTTCTCCTTCAGCTTTGTCCTGTCTAGTAGCTGAAGTGCTGCTGCTGCCTTCTTGGGCGACTTCTTAGCAGCTGCTGCCGGTTTCTTGGCTTTGGCCGCGGCGGGCTTCTTGGCTTTGCTCTCAGTAGCCTTGTTCATCTTGAAGGATCCGGAGGTCCTGGTGCCCTTGGTCTGCACCAGAGTGCCCTTCGCCACCAGGCTCTTGATGGCGGTCTTGACACGGGCCTTGTTCTTGTCCACATCGTAGCCTCCGGCAGCCAGAGCCTTCTTGAGAGCGGCCACGGACAGGCCGTTGCGCTCCTTGGAAGCGGCCACGGCTTTCACAATCAGCTCGCCCACGCTGAGGCCGACCTTCTTGGGCTTGGAAGTCATCGTCTTCTTCTTCTTGGCCTGAACCTCGGCGCAGGGCGCAGGGCGTGTTTATGATGGAGCCTTTCCCACCACAGCGCTGGCACGTTGAACGCATCATGAAGGGTCCATTTCTTTCATGTCGCTAGCCGCATGTGGCTTGCCCGAGTCACTCAGTCCTTTTTGAGCATTTCAACATGCTGCCGCCGCAGACCCTGGCCTCAGATCCAGCAAGTTTAGCGCGCTGATCTCCAAAAAAGTCCCGAAGGCCAGAAAGACGTCAAATAAGTGTCTCGTGCTGAGAACTCAAACAAAAACTCCTCTTCACGCTGCCATCTTGCTCGCCCCTCCGTGAAATTCAACCAATCAGACAGGAAGATGGGTTTGCTTTCTTCTTCTGCTGCTGTTTATCCACATTGCTGCTGCTTTGCTGGGACTTTTTGTGCTCAGGACTTGCTGCTGTCTCTTTATCATGTTATTGCTTTGGAGCTGCATTCCTTATCTTCAGGGAGGAGTGAGCTCGCTTGTGAGGTTGAGAAACACATGGCGCTGTAAATAAGTCAGCCAGAAACTTGGCCTGCATGTTTCCAATGATGTTAAACTATAACTTTCTTCCGACTGTTGCATGTGGAAAATTGATTCAGGTCTGCTTTTCACCTGAAAGTGACAAACTAAGACATGTTCATTATTATCATCACTGTTTAATCAACACACATCTCTCTCTCTCTCTGTCTGTGTTTGTGTGAACAATCCTTTCTTAAAAGCAGAAAATGACATTGTAGTTGTTTTTCGGCTGATCAACACAAAACCTTTGTCCTATGATTATTTCTCTTCGTCTACAATGTAGTAATTTGTCTCTTTTTCACTCTTTTTTTTTTCTTCACAATAGCTGGTGGTCTGCAAAATCACCGCTCTCACTCACAATCAGAGGCAATCACTTTTGCACAGTGCACAAAAACACTGTGATGTCAGACACATTCACACTCACTTTTTCATCTGCATAAATAAACCATATGGCTGGAGACATGTGCCATGGTGATCCATAAGCATGATCACCAGTTTATTTAATTATTTTAATCCAACAAAACAAATAAACAAAAACATGATGCTGATGCTACACACACACACGAGTCAAGGTGCAGAAAAACTGCTCATGGAAACGCTGCACACTCTCTGTTTCCCTCTCTTTGAGTAGTTCTCAGACAGCTCTTGATCTGATAATGTGTAGCTTGCTCATCAGCTCAAAAAACAAAAACAAAACTGCAACGCGACATCACACAGTAGTTGCATGCTCTGCCCACAGTGGCAAAGTCTTACACTTACATATTTGTAACGGTGGACCCAAGAAATACCAGCCGGAGCGACTTTTGACAGTGCAGAACTTTTTATTAAGCTCGGGTTGTAGTGGACACATATACTCCGCTCTCTCTTTCTCTGCTGTCACGTTCCTTCTCCGTCTGTCACTGCCAACACATAAAGAGACACAATCACTGTCAGATCCCAGCACACCTGTTCACCCCGCCCCTGCGCCGCCCCGGGAGCTCACTGCGTCACGCCTCCTCTGCAGCTGGCCAAGGACCACACCCACGCCACAATATTCAACACAGCTTCTCCATCATGTATTTTTAGATGTTTCATACAGGGTTGAGCATATTAGTTGTTTTCACAGATGTGCTCTATATCTCAACAATGGCTCATAATAAGACGACAGTCTTTCACACAGGTCAAGTGCCTCTATGCACTTCATTAGTTTAAATATTTATCTATATCACTTCACCTCACATGTCATTGTACTGAATTTAAGCAACCACAAGCTTAATGTAGATTACTTTTAACAACTATCCACCTCAATTAAATCTATGGTCTGGCACACAGGCTGCTGTCGATCAGGGCAAGCTAAAGAATAAACATTTTGTGTCAGCTGCCAGGAGCAAAGTCCAGCACAAACGTCTGTCTCCCTCCAACTCACTCTTGGTTGCTTAGAAACCCATGATAACAACAACAGTCGGTGTCACAGACCACATGTTCTGCTCCGCACACACTCACACACAACAACAACGACGACGACAATGACAACAACACAAAATAGGCCTACTGTCCAGCACAATCTGGACCCCGCGGAACTTCTCAACACCCCACTGAGCGGTGGAGAACTCACTACAGTACCCCACACAGCGGTCTGTATTTCGCCCCACTAAGACGGCGAACCAAAAAAAGTTCGAACTGCGCAACTCTGCGACTTAATGCTTCTGTACAAAAAACCCCACTGAGCGGCCTTGTACATCGCCCCACTTAGACGGCGAATTTTAGCCCCACTAAGCGGCCACGGACAACGCCCCACTGAGCGGCGAAGACGTAATTTTAGCCCCACTAAGCGGCCACGGACAACGCCCCACTGAGCGGCGAAGACGTACAGTTATAGAGTTGGACTCTAAACTTACTCGGTGTTGCTTAGCGTGTAATATCAGCCTCGAATCCCGCCAATCGCCATTCATCGAGGAGAAAAGACATACAGCGAATCCACAGGAACTTCCTGGCTGACGTCAGTCTTTCAGCGTGCCTCCCCCCCTCGGTGAATGCGATCCCAGGGAGCCGGCATCGAAGGACCAATTAATGTTAGGTTTGTAGCTTGAACCTATTCGCTGGAACGTTAAGACAATATAATTACACTGCAAGCAAGACGCAAGTAGGCAAACATCTTCATGGTACTCGTGCACGGGAGAGAACCGGACAACCGCTTGACTCCAGTTGGTCTCGTCCGTTCTCCCATATCACTGTCCTTTTATTGAGGTTACATGAATATGCATAAGTTCATTAACATATGACGTCTACATACACAAAGAGTACCTTGCCTGTGTGTGTGTGTGTGTGTGTGTGTGTGTGTGTGGACTGCTGATCAAAGGGTCAAACATCCTTGGTCATGAAGAGGGTAGCCTCCCCCTCACCCTAGATGGTTCATCCTAGATAACACGGTGAGGAAGTCCTGCAGTTCATCTAAACAAAGAGCACTTAGACTAGAACAGATGCAACTACGTTAATCCTACCATAAAACAATAAGACACGGTATGACCTCTCATGCTCCCAAAGTGCTGTCTAATACACACAAAGTTTGCAGACTATCAAGGATCAAAACCTCTACCAATCTACAACTAATTACAAAACTCTAAGCATATATAAGTAAATATTTCTAAGCATAAATGACAATCAACAATACAAATCTAACACGTGATTTCTCCAAATCCATCAGGTTTCAGACAACGACTCACTTCAAACTTGCTCAATAGCTGGAGCTGCTGGAGCCATGTTAACCATCTTTTGGAAAACAGCTCTGGTACATTATCGTCCCAGCCGATTCCTTCCTGGCATAGATCTCTTAGGATTTTCTTAGCAGTTAAGACCACAGGACTTAGCATTCCAAGAGGATCATAGATAGAACTGACAATTGAAAGGATTCCTCTTCTGGTGAGCGGTCTGTCCTTGAGCACAATCTTGAACTTAAAAGAGTCTGATTTTATGCACCACTCCACGCCCAAAACTCGCTCGATCATTGAGGAATCCAATTCCACGTTCAACTCTTTCATTCCTGTGGCTCTGTGACTTTCAGGAATTGATTCCAGCACTGCAGGCTTGTTGGTTGGTGATCCACTTTTTGAGCAGAAATCCTCCTTTGGCACACAAAGAAACCAACTCGTGGTACATTAACACTGCTTCCTCATCAGTTTCAACGGACACAAGACAATCGTCCACATAAAAACAGTGCAACAACTTCTTCACAGCTTCCTCACAGTAGAGATGTCCAAAGTCATCCGCACACTTTCTGAGTGCAAAGTTGGCACAACTTGGTGACGAAGTTGCCCCGAAGAGATGTACATTCATCCTGTATTCAGATGTTGGTTGTTCCAGATCACCTTTAGGCCACCAGAGAAATCTCAATAGATCTTTATCTTCAGCTGGAACCATGACTTGATGGAACATGGATTCAATATCTCCCATAATTACAACTGGCTCCTTCCTGAATCTTGTGATCACTCCTATTAAAGAGCTTGTAAGATCAGGTCCTTGTAAGAGTTGTGAGTTTAAAGATGTTCCATGATAACTCACTCCACAGTCAAACACAACTCTGAGTTTCTTCTTGGTCGGATGGTAAACACCATGGTGTGGTATATACCACAGCTTGCCATCATTGCGATTGATCTCTTCCGGGACCTTTTCAGCATAACCTTTAGCCAGAAGCTCATTCATGAAGACTTTGTACTCAGTATGAAACACTGTGTCTCTCTCAAATCTCTTTTTTAGAAAGCGCAGACGTTGTTGAACAACTTTCTTATTGTTTGGCATACTGATACTGGCATTCCGAAAAGGTAATGCTATCTGGATATGACCACCCACATATTTGGCAGAGTTAGTAACTATTTCCAGAAAACTCTGATCCTCTCTTGACAATCCAACCTGCCCATCAACTTTGCTCTCAGGAAAGTCATTCTTGAACTGTTGCTGCCAAAGCTCCTCCAGCGTGACAACAGAAATTCTGTTGACTGTAACTTGTGGATGCTTCTGATCACTTGTAGCTTCACAGTTTCCTGAAAGTGGTCCATTGATGGTCCAGCCAAGCCTTGTCCTTACGGCATACGGTCCTCCATCAACAATACACACCACTTCCAGAGGTTCCAAGGCTTTGGGAATGTTTGTTCCAATCAGAAGTTCAATTCCTGCATTTACACTCAACAAAAATATAAACGCAACACCTTTGTTACTGCTCCCATTCCCCATGGGATGGACGTAGAGACCTAAAATTCATTCCAGATACACAATATAACCATCCCTCCCAAACAGTGGTCACAAATCAGTCCAAATGTGTGGTAGTGGGCACATCTGCTATATTGAGATAATCCATCCCACCTCACAGGTGTGCCACATCAGGATGCTGATCTGACATCATGAGTAGTGCACAGGTGTACCTCAGACTGCCCACAACAAAAGGCCACCCTGGAATGTGCAGTTTTTTGCGCTATTGGGGGTCTGGGGACCCAGAACCGGTCAGTATCTGGTGTGACCACCATTTGCCTCATGCAGTGCAACACATCGTCGCATGGAGTCTATCAGATTGTCAATTGTGGCCTGTGGAATGTTGGTCCACTCCACTTCAATGGCTGTGCGAGGTAGTTGGATATTCGTGGGAACTGGTACACGCTGTTGTATACGCCGGTCAAGCACATCCCGAACATGCTCAATGGGTGACATGTCCGGTGAGTATGCTGGCCATGCAAGAACTGGGACATTCTCAGCTGCCATCTGCCCTGAACAATGTGAACCATGATTCATCCGTGAAGCGCACACCTCTCCAACGTGCCAGACGCCATCGAATGTGAGCATTTGCCCACACAAGTCTGTTACGGCGACGAGCTGGAGTCAGGTCAAGACCCGATGAGGACGACGGGCATGCAGTTGAGCGTCCCTGAGACGGTTTCTGACAGTTTGTGCAGAAATTGTTTGGTTGTGCAAACCAATTGTTCCAGCAGCTGTCTGGGTGGCTGGTCTCAGACGATCTTGGAGGTGAACCTGCTGGATGTGGAGGTCCTGGGCTGGTGTGGTTACACGAGGTCTGCGGTTGTGAGGCCGGTTGGATGTGCTGCCATATTCTCTGAAACGCCTGTGGAGACGGCTTATGGTTGAGAAATGAACATTCAATGCACGGGCGACAGATCTGGTTGACATTCCTGCTGTCAGCATGCCAATTGCACGCTCCCTCATTGCTTGTGGCATCTGTGGCATTTTGCTGTGAGACAAAACTGCACATTCCAGGGTGGCCTTTTGTTGTGGGCAGTCTGAGGTACACCTGTGCACTACTCATGATGTCAGATCAGCATCCTGATGTGGCACACCTGTGAGGTGGGATGGATTATCTCAATATAGCAGATGTGCCCACTACCACACATTTGGACTGATTTGTGACCACTGTTTGGGAGGGATGGTTATATTGTGTATCTGGAATGAATTTTAGGTCTCTACGTCCATCCCATGGGGAATGGGAGCAAAAACAAAAGTGTTGCGTTTATATTTTTGTTCAGTGTATTTGAGGCAGGGTTATGGGTTTTAAATGTGCCCATCCTTCAATATCTCCTGGTGTTGTAATATTTCCTTTATGTACAGGCATGGACTCCTGTGTGTACACTTTTGGCAGTTCCAGAAATTCGTCACCACAAAGAGCAGCAACCTCCAGTCCTGATAAAGTGTTGCTGCTCACAACTCTTTCCTGGCCCATGGTTCTGAGGAGGATGTTTCCTTTCCTTCCCTCAAGGTGAAGTCTGCGCATCAGACTCTCAGTGCAGAAAACTGCTGTGCTCCCTTGGTCCAAAAAAGCATATGTTGTAATAATGTTGCTTCCTTTCTTTGACTTTACTTGGACAGGCACAATGGGCAGTTTACAGTCCTGGTCTCCAGCCCCTGTGAGACCACTCGACACCAGTGTGCTCACATGCGGCTGCATGTTCCTGTCAGTCTTTTCAGAAGGTGAACTTTCTTTGTGCAGGATGGTGGGATGTTTCCGGCTGCATTTGGAACAGGAAATCCTCTTACGGCAATCTTTACTGATGTGTCCTATACACAAGCAGCCAAAACAGATGCCATTTTCCTTTAAGAAGGTTATCTTCTTCTCATGAGCCATTTTTCCCAACTGTGCACAGACGTCCAACATGTGTCTTCCTCCACAACAAATACAGAC